ACATGCATGTTTTGGGACTATACTTTTCAAAACATTGTGTATTTTATATATATATATATATATATACACACACAATTATTATTATTTTTTCCCCCCTAAAATAAGTGACCAGTTGAAATTTTCAGTGGTTATCAACAGGTGCTGCACTGTGCTGTTAAGTTAATTAAACTTAATACTTTTACTTAAAGCTAAGTTATGTGCATGAAAAGTATGCAGCTGCTGATTTAGGACTTTAGTTCAGAATCAACTCATGAACTCAAACTGAAACTCCTCGTAAAACTGTTCAGTCTTCTTATTGATGGTTGTTCTTTTCTGTCTGTCCATTGCCTTTCCTCTCCCAGGATGGAGTTTGAGGATTTCTGTAAGTATTTCACAGACCTGATTCTGTGCCGCTTGATTAACACGTCGTACCTGAGCATCCACAAGATCTGGGAGGAGGCAGTGATGCGGGGCTCCTGGTGTCGCCATGACGACCCTTTAATGAACCGATCAGGAGGCTGCATCAACCACAAAGCCACGTTCCTCCAGAACCCACAGGTGCGCAGCGCTCGTTCACAAGTGTGTGTTTATTGTGTAGACGGGTACTGAAGAGTGGCTCTGTGTTTTTCAGTATGTGTTCGACGTGACGAAGACTGAGGACGAGGTTCTGATCTGCCTGCAGCAGCAGGACAAGAGAGCTCAATCCAAAGATGGGAAAGGAGACAACATCGCCATCGGCTTTTATATCCAAAACGTATGTATATTATGCACATAAATTAATCTTGAAAACATATTCTGCTGATTTGCAAAAGAGGCCTAGTATTACATATTCTGATGATGCTGAGTTCAAAAATATCAATAAAAACTTTCCATTGTGAGTTTTTACTCAAAATAAGAATGAAGATCATTCAAACTATATATGTATACATGTACCAGTTTTAATGCACTTATCAAAATAACACAAGCATTCAAATGTCAAAACCTTTGGTTTTAATGACAAAAGGATGTATTAAAAATGTATCATTTAACTCACAATCTGCAAAGGAGTGGGAAAATATGTTCAAATACTCAAATACATTTAATATCAAAGAACTTCACAAAATAACTTTTTTTTACAGAATTTAGCATTTTCTTCTGACACTGGTCATAATTCTGACCTTGAAATCAGGAGTAAGAAACTGTGAAGGACAATCAGAGAATCTGTTCAACAAATATATATTCTGATCAAATATTCCTGGCTCAGAAAAATGCAAAAATAACTGGTTTCCCCTTAATAAAAAAACAGGATTTCTGCGGGTCGGAAAAAGGCCTTAAAAGTCTTAATTCGTCCTTCCACAAATTAAGGCCTTTAGCAGAACGTCTTAAATTCATCAAGTCATGGCATTAAATGTTGCATGCACTGCAAAAACTGAATATCTTCCTCAGTAATTTTGTTTTCCAATACAAATATCTAAGCATTCTTAAATCATGATAAACTGGAGATGCAAAAGGTATGAAATATATGAAGTCTTGTTTTCTAAGAAATTAAACAAAATGAAGTGAGTTTACATCTGTATGAAAACGTATTTTCCATTTGAATTAAGTTTTTGTTTTTTTTATCA